ACTAGATCACTGCAACCCTCCCTTGGTTTTTTTTTTTGTTGTTGTTGTTGTTGTTGTTTTTGCTTCTGTTCTACCCCCACCTCCCAGGGTCTCTCCCATAAAGTAGACTGAGTGGTCCTTTTAAGATGGAAACTGATCACATCACTCCTCTGCTCAAAACTCCCAAAGGCTCCCTAAGTCACTCAAACCATTAAAGTCCTTAAGGGGCCCTGGAGCCCTGGGTGATATGGCCACCACTACCCTCCAACATCAATTCCTGCTGTTCTGATCTTAACTCACCCTGCTTCAGCCACACTGGCCTCCCTGCCCTGCTCCCTACCCACTAAGGAGATCTTGGCTCTAACTCTTCCCTTTGCTTAGAGAGCTCCTTCCCAAACATCCGCCTGACTGACTCTCACACTAACTTCCAAGAGTTCTGCTCAGACCTCAGCTCTCACTTGGGCTCTCCTGGTACTCTGTTCACGACCACAATCCCACCTCCCGCACCTTATCTCCCCATACTCACTGTACTCTATTTCTACTACATAGCAGATAATGTACTTAGAATGGTGATTATTAATTATCAGTCTCTCTCAACTCAAAGCTTGACTCTGTGAAGAAATAAATTGTTGTCTTTATTTACTCATGTGTCCTAAATATTTAGAATAGTGGCTCTCAACAAAATTTGTTAAATGAATGAATAAGCATACATAGACCAAATTACCAGACAATGCTTGTCATAATTAAACTTAGAGACAAAACATGTGTAACCACTTTTTATTGATGGCTAAGCTTTTAAATCACTTTGTAACTTATTACTGAGTTTGAAATGTGAATGAAGTCAGTTCCTTTTTTGCTCTTTTGTGGGTTTCAAGGAATCATGGATTTCAAGGAATCATGGATACTGATTTCTACAGAGAACCTTCCCAAGTGAAATACACAGGGTCCCAACTACGTTAAGCCTTTTTAGTAAGTGTGTCAAAGGTCCCCATTTCTAATTGCTCTGTGAATCAGTGGATGTCCTTTAAACTCTCCATCCTGTGAAGTCTTCTCAAGAAGAAGCCTCTTGTTCACTCAGAGAAGACCCTCATAATAAAGACCCTCATAAAAAATAATAAAGACTGTTCTTTATTCTCTTGATGCAGGTGGTGCCAGCCATTAGAAGCAGAGGTCCAAACTGGTCTACTGTTGACATCTTACAGTTTGCAGCAATTAGAATGACTGGACACTGAATTACATTTTTAATTCAAGATTCTAATTTTGGGGAGATAATTTCCAAGAATAGCATTATTTTATATTTTTGAGTCATCATTCCAAAATGAAAGCTCACTGCCCAAAATATTTTTTTTTAAAGCAAGAACTTAGAGAAAAAAATTTTACACCTAGGCTTATATAGCTCACTCATGGCTAGCTTATGTCAGATTGAGCCAAAACAGTAAGTTGATTCATTCTCTGGAAAAAAGTTACCATGAGTTTTTCAATTTTCATTTATTTCAATAAAAAGCTTAAATGTTATTTTAACCAAGTGTCTTGCATGTCTGTTTTTCAGAAACAAGAGGAAACAAAAACAAATCTGCCTGGAAAATATGTGAACAGGAGGAACATATTCTGTTTCTAAGGAAAATAAAATCTAACTGTTCAACATTTATCTATTTCCAATATATTTCTTTAGAAAAAAAAATGTTAGCCTTAGTGGTCTTCCAGAAAAATTCTCAACTTAGAATTTTAAAAAAATAACATTTGATTAATGACTCAGAAAATCCTAAAGAAACCTCCTACTTCAATGACCTAATTTACTGGTCTCATATACATCCCTTCATTTTTTTGTTTTGAAACAAGCATTCCCTGAGCTTCTACTGTAACATCAGGTAAGACTCACATTGTATAATTCAATTGAACTATGATCCCTCATCTAAAAAGACAAGTTGGTTGCTTTTACTTTTGGTAGAGTTCTAGATGCCTGACAATGCTCTCAGTAAGCTGTGATACTAGTTGCCACTAGAACACTAAAAATCACAGCATTTTAGAACTAAACTGAATCATATAAGTGTCATGGGGGACAGACAGTAAGAAGGAGAGAGAATTTCAGGAAGAGAAGGATGGAGGACTGACCAAATCATTGTGTGTCACAGGTTAAAATGGGAAAGACAGACAGAGAAGAAGAAAAGACAAACATAGAGATGGAGACAGAGAGACAGAGCTAGAAAGAGAGAGAGGGAAGAGAGACAGAGACAAAGAGAGACAGAAACAGAAAAACTAAACAAAAATAAATGCTTCTCTATTAAACCAAGGTGTGTTTATTTAGTCTTTCCTAAATTCAGAAGCTGATTTTAAAAGAGGAGAAAGACTCCATTAAGGGCACGTTATGAATATATTAAAATGGGACATATTGTAAGTCTAGTTAAAAAAACAGTCTAAATTTTACCATATTCATAGTTTAATTTTGCTTAGTTTAATAGGCTAGTCCTATTGCATAGAGATTTTGATAAACACACTCAGTCAACAAATAATTATTCCTGGTTTTGGTTGCTAGCCAAGTAAACTAGAAAAGGGACCACAATTCTCCACTGACAGCAGGTGACAACAGTAGAGGTCATCATTTAAATGTTGTCTAATATCCTAAATCCAGAAACTGGCAAAAACACAAAGATGTAAACTTCATCACACAAAATAAAAAATTCTGACAGAAGAGGTCGGTAGGTGAAGGAGCTGCTGTAACCTATCAGAACTTCCCATTACTTGGGTCCAAGGATGGACAAACACCGTAGCAGGGGTGGAAAGAACATGTACAATAGAACGAGACACACCAGGGTTCCCTTCTGAGGCACCCTGTTCACTGCATGCGTAGCCAGACCATTCTACCTCTGAACTTCTGTTTCCTAAATCACGAGATGAGGAAAGCCATATCCACCTTCCCATGACCTAACAATAGCAAACAATGTTTAAAATCAGACACAAAGGCACTAACCAACAACAGAAGTAATGGATGAACCTGCCACACTGAATCAAGAAGAACTGTCTACAAAAAGAAACCACATTGAGATACCACCTTCCACCAGTTAGAGTGGCCAAAATTAGCAAGACAGGAAACAACATGTGTTGGAGGGGATGTGGAGAAAGGGGAACCCTCTTACACTGTTGGTGGGAATGCAAGTTGGTGCAGCCTCTTTGGAGAACAGTGTGGAGATTCCTCAAGAAATTAAAAATAGAAATTAAAAATTCCTCAAGAAATTAAAAATAAATTAAAAATAGGAATTAAAAATTCCTCAAGAAATTAAAAATAGAAATTAAAAATAGGTCCCTAGGACCCTGCCATTGCACTACTGGGTATTTACCCCAAAGATACAGATGGAATGAAAAGAAGGGTCATCTGTACCCCAATGTTTATAGCAGCAATGGCCACGGTCGCCAAACTGTGGAAAGAACCAAGATGCCCTTCAACGGACGAATGGATAAGGAAGATGTGGTCCATATACACTATGGAGTACCGTGCCTCCATCAGAAAGGATGAGTACCCAACTTTTGTAGCAACATGGTTGGGACTGGAAGAGATGATGCTGAGTGAAATAAATCAAGCAGAGAGAGTCAATTATCATATGGTTTCACTTATTTGTGGAACATAACAAATAGCATGGAGGACATGGGGAGTTAGGAGAAGGGAGTTGGGGGAAATTGGTAGGGGAGGTGAACCATGAGAGACTATGGACTCTGAAAAACAATCTGAAGGTTTGAAGAGGTGGGAGGGTGGGAGGTTGGGGGAACCAGGTGGTGGGTATTAGAGAGGGCACGGATTGCATGGAGCACTGGGTGTGGTACAAAAACAATGAATACTGTTATGTTGAAAATAAATTTTAAAAAATGATTTAAAAAAAAAGAAATCATGAAACTGTCTAAAAAAGTAAAAGTCATGAAACAGAAAAGGAGATGTACCTTACTTTTAACTGACAAAGGGCTAATGGATAGGATAATAAAGAGATTTTATAAACACAAAATAATAATAGTAAGACAGCTAAAATATGCTAAATATTTCAGACACTAGACAAAATAAAATTCAAATGGCCAATAAATACGAAGAGATGTTCATTAATAATCAGTGAAATTCAGATTAAATAATACTGCTTTTCAGGGTTATTGGGGGCAGTGGTAAATGGTTATTTATTTAAAGCACCTACATAAGTCCTGGCACACGGAAGGTAGAAGAACCATAAATAAACTTCCCCAAATAAACTTTGCTTGGATCCTTCTGGGGGCTATCACTATAAAGTCAACAAGCATCTAAATACAGAGCAACACAATAGCACATGTTACGGTCAGTGCTGTGAATTGTGTTAGACAGATGAATCCCACACCTGTACCCCTGAAACAAATAATACATTATATGTTAATTTAAAAACTCTTAAAACTGAAAAATAAATAAGTAAATAAATAAATAATAAATACAAAGCAACATGCCTCAGTCTTAATATCCATTAATAACCTGAACTTACGATGGATGCTTCCAAAGCTGAAAATTAAACATGGACTTCTCTCTAGTGACTATACAGAAAAATTACTCTACCCGCAGATTGAATGCACTAACCCCATTCCTGGCTTCCTGATGCCTTTTGGATTCTAATTTTCCCTTAATCTATGGCCTTCATCCCCTTTATGTTCATTTTGCATCGTTATAATGCCTGAACCCAGGAAAGGCACTTTCAGCTCTTTCTGAAGACCGGTAAGGTATAAGTAAACATTATAAAACAAATCTCTTCCTGAAAGCACTGGCCTAGAAGCCCTGTGCATTACCATAAGTCCTGTCAGCAAGATACATCTGTGGGTCACACACAAATAAACCAATTTTTTCATACCAGGGGGTTGCTATAGAGAAGACTCAAAATTTGAGAACTGCACTTGCTGCTTGGCAGGTACCTTAATTTAGCCCATTCTAAAAATTTATTGGTCGAAGTACTTTCTATGCCATTGGAAGGAATGACACCCACGCACTTGATCGTGACCAATAGACTAATGAGGTCAGTACGTACCAAAGGAAAGAAAGTCTCTGCAGAGTAAGGAGGGGGTGGTGTCTCCACAGCGATTTCAGGGTCCTCCTGTTCACTCTCACTGTAGCATTCTATACAGAAATGAAAATGTTTTATGTTTCAACACTGTCATCACTCATTCCATAATGCATGAGCAGAGGTTTTGCTCCATCTGGCTATTGCAATTCCAATCCGATTCAGAAAGGACTCATCTATGGAGCTACCTGGTGCAAGGAGATTACATAAGAGGGGAGAAAATGAATAACGATATTAGGGTTTCCGCCCTCACTGGTGTCTACTATGTAGGAAGAGGACTAGCCATAGCTCAGGGAAAATAAAATAATTCTTCAAAAGAGGTGTGAGTCATATACTAAGGGATCATGAAATCAGGAGTGATTCATTTTGATCATAGGAGCCATAAGGAGCTGAAAATGACAGCATATATAAACCATCAACAGTGCGCACAGAGTAATATGAGTACCAGTTTGAGGGTGCTGTCTGAGCCAACTATATGGAAACCCCTAACAGATGTGGCAAAAAAAAAAAAAAAAGAAAGAAAGAAAGAAAGAAAGCAAGCAAGCTAGCTGAAAGTTTGCTTGAGGCCATATCACAGAAGGTCTTAAATACCAGGATAAGGAGAAGATTTTTGTGTAATGACTTTTTTCCTCACAATCTATAACTGCATTTCAAATATACAATGGGTATTGATGTTGTGGCAAAGAGGACCAAGGAGATGGTCAGGACAGTGATTTCACACTCTTGCACTGTAGTTCTTTATTCTTTTAAATCACGTTACCACTTTTCCATTTCTCAGATTCAGCTTTTATAATTTTTGCTATCCAAAGATATAACACCCCACATTCCAATTCCCAAGTTTTATATGGCCTGAGTACTTCATAAATAGTATTAACTTTGTGTCCCTGGCACCAAAAGCCTCCTTCTTCTCAATATTCAGGAGTAATTGCATCATTAAGAAGATTTGACTCCTGTAGCTTTGAACCCAGAAAACTACAGACTGAGCTAAAAATATGGCCTGTGTCCTAATCTGACATTCAGTTTCCTAGCACAGACATAGAGTAATTAGCCTCAGCATACACCTGGTGGAAATATTAAAATATCAGAGAGGAAATAGTGGGATGAAAGTTATCTGTCTAGATCATGACGAGATCATGTCTCTGAGTAAGAATTCAGTGAGTGGGGCAATAAAACATTTGCACTGGCAGTTGTTCGAGATGTCAGTGAAGCCTACAGCTGCTAATGTGTGGGTGAAGTGTAAAAAGCATTCTTAGCCAGCATGGGAAGCTCTATTCCATGTTGGTAAGTCTGTGTGAATATGTCTGCTTCTACATATTTTCAGATAATTTTAAATGCCAAAGTATGTTTCATTAGGACAAGACTATGCATAGAACTTGACATTGTATTTCCATCCATCTCATCCTAATATTCTTGCTAAATTTTCAGAAACTTAAAATAGAACATACCTTCATCCTTTGTAACAGATTCATGATGGACTACAGCGAACCCAAGCTTGTTTAACCACCTAAAATTCAAATAGGAAATAAATGCTTAGCCAAAGAGATTGGTCATCTCCTATCCACCTTCCCCCTAGACCCTGAAGGAAGGTCTTGCGCCAGACTTTATAATGCAGTTATCATCATTCTAGAGTCAGTCTAAACATTTCCAGAAACAGCAGGAGTTTGTCGTATCGAAACCTAAAACCACTTGTTTCACAATATTTTCCTTACTCGGGATTTTCTTTCTAAGACAAGAAACAAGGTGGTCCATTATCCAGCTTGCTAAGGTGGGCAACTACATTAAATATTCTAAATATATGAACAAATATATCTTTTGTAGTTGTGCATTTCAAATTTTTAGCAACCATCAGAACTTCTATCACTGAATTTAGTAATCTGACCATTAAAGTCCCATCTCTATAATTCTTAAAATGTAATTTTATTTCACAAAAAATAAAGAAAAGATGATCTGTTTTTAAGGTAGGATTTTTGTATTAATCAGTAAAAGATCTCAGAGTTTGGCAGGTATTCCTAAACTACAGAAATTTTTAATTCCTTGAAGAGTTTTCTTAGGTAAAAAATGACAATGTCCTTATCTTACCAATTTACCATTTTATTGGCAATGATTTTCAGCTAAACATCAATAACAACAACAAAAAAAAACTAAACAAACCTTAAGGAACTCAAACTTGGCTCATGACCTCAGGCCATTGGAGTTCCTTATCAAGGGGTTAGTCAGGAACATATTTTATGACACAAATTTGTAAAAGACACAAAATGAATCTATTTCATATGTTCCTAGCTATATAACCTTCTACTTAAAAAGAAAATATTGTTTTGGGGTGGTAATACTCTGATTTATTTTCCACTTCTTTCAAATTTTCTTTACATTTTTAAAAAGTATTCCATATTATGTGTTCACTTTTTTTTCTTTTTTTGAGAAACCAATACATTCGGTAGCAGCCTAAGTCAACCAATACCAATAAAATAAGAAGAGTGTTATGTACTTATTGACTCACTTATGCTCTCCATTTCTTCTAGTCCTGTACTGCCTTGTGAATTAGCCAGCACACTGCTCCCCTACCACTGCAAAATTATCGCATATTCCCAAGTCTTCAATCGTCAACAAATTAGACATCCTTCCCCAACCCTCAACCTGCCATAGTCTTGCCATATTTATTTTTTAGTAACAGGAAATACATAAATTTCATTTTTAAAAACAAATAGGGCTTTCTGCAAGAAGGTAAACGAGCTTCAGCCTCATTTAAGAATCCCCTCAGGTGTGCCTATGTGGCTCTATCCACTGAGCATTCTACTCTTCATTTCTGCTCAGGTTATGATCTGTAAGGTCATAGGATTGAGCCCTGCATGGGGCTCTGTGCTCAGTGTGCTCAGTGAGGGTCTGCTGCTCTCTCTCTGTCCCTTGCCCTCTGCCGTTCCCCTGTTTTCACACTTTCTCTAAATAAATAAGTGGTTTTAGGTTTCAATACCACAAACTTACATGTTGTTTCTGGAAATGTTTAAACCAACTATAGAATTACAACAATTGCATAATAAAGAAACTATCTTTTTTTTAAAGGCATTTTTAGAAGCCCCTTTAGTATCTGACAACTATGAGCTCTTTAATAGCCACTTAAAACCAGACTAACACATGAGCCCAGGCACCACCATAGGAACCAGAAATTGTTCATCAAGACCTGATAGAATAATAAACAACCAACCAAAACAAACACAAACACAAACAAACAAACAAAAGGGAATTCACAGAAAAAGATACAAATAGCTAGAAAAAAAAAAAAAACAGAAAAAAATTACCAACCTCCATAGTACTTTGGGAAATGCACATACAAGCACAAGAAAATATTCGCCACTAGATCGGCAAAACTTTAAAAAACCACTGATCTAGAATTTAGGAGGAAACATTCTCATCCTTTGTTTAGATGAACATCAAAATTGATATCTCCAATTTTTAGCAGGCAATTTGATGATACTAATCAAAATTTAAATATCCACCCCCTAATTATAAATGTCTATCCTACAAATGACAAATAAATGTGGAAGGATGTTAATCCAACAAGACTTGCAATGGCAAAAAGAAAAAACACTGAGACGATAATCATCCATCAACAGGAAAATGGATAAAGTATAGCACTAATTTCTTTAGTACAACAAGTGTTATGAAGCTAATACAAAGACTGGGATAGAAAGTCTTCTGATGGCCTGGAAAAATCCTAACATACTTGTAAGTAAAAAAAGCAAGTACAGAACAATATGACTGGCCTAATTCAATGTACTTTTAAAACTATGTATTTGGATATGTGCGTGAGTTGGTATGCAAAGTAAAGTATCAGGAAGGATGTATGTCAGTCATACTGTTAAAAGTAGTTAACCCTGGGGTGCCTGGGTGGGTCAGATGGTTAAGCACCTGCCTTTGTCTCAGGTCATGATCCCAGGGTCCTGAAATAGAGCCTTGTGGCTGGCTCCCTGCTCACTGGGGAGTCTGCTTCTCCCTTTCTCTCTGCTTCTCCCCCTGTTTGTGCTTTCTCTACTCTCTCTCTCTCTCTCTCAAATAAATAAATAAATGAAATCTTAAAAAAAAAAAAAAAAAGTTAATCCCGAAGAGAAAAGTTGAACTGGAGGGTGAAGTTGGGGGTATGGAAAGGTTTTCTTTTCACATACTAATGTATTATAAGATTTTTTACAAGAATATGTTTTGTGTGTCATTTAACTAGAAGAAACATTTTAATGTACAGTTTCAAAAACTGATCAGGCAAAGCACAGTAAATTTGGTGGCTCACTTTTAAAATACCAAAATAAACTATTCTTAGTTTATGTCTGGTTTCATGACTGTATACAGACCCTACCCCCCCAAAAGTACCTAAAAATAAAATAGACCAATACTTTAACATATCAAGACAAAAAATACTTTTGAAGTGAGAACGCCTCAAACAAACAAAAAAAGACATTTCTAAGTTCCTTCTAGAGCACAGAAATACAGAAATATTGCAAAATGAAAGAGTATGGACAATAAAGAAATCATTCTTCCCAGCTCTTACCTAACTCTCATATTCTTTTAATAGCCACCATTAGTTACTTGCTGTAACTAATGAAAACATGATTGTTTAGAATCTTGTTTGACTGTTTCCTTTCCGGAATCCACTGGCTTAAAGGACCTCTTTGCTAAGAACTTTAAAAAAAAAAAAAACATCGAGATAGTAGAAAAATTTCTATTCGTGCTTAAATAGATGGATGCACAAAAAAACTTATATTTACATAAAAGAAGATGACAGATGTTTCCTGGGAGTTTGTTGTATATTAACTCGATGTGTTGGAGGAGCCCAAGTGTTAAGAAATTGATATACAAAACAGGAAGGTTCTTCCCACAAACACCGTCTGAGAAAGGCAGCTACCAACCAGTCTTTGTTTAGAAAGCAACTCTTCCATTACCCTTAATTACTTACCCCTGTACTTGTAAATTGAGGGTCCCTGCAGAATACACAGCATTTCTATTAAACGTAATTGCCTTTCCCTACATTGTCCCTGAGAGAAATGTCACCACCCAAAAATGCAGTTTCCCAAGGAAGCAAATTTCTAAAATAGGAGGCATCTTTCCACAGGCCACTCCCTCCTTCCTCAGATTCTCTGCATCTCACCAAGAAACACCCAGCCACATTATTTACTGTCTTAAACTGGCCACCTCAGTAGGAAAGGGAGCTCTTCAGGTGCCCCTCAGAACAAATCTTTAAATGCCATCTGCATCATCTTGTGAGAGAAGAGAGAAGTTAACTTGGAGGCCCAAAGGGATTCCACCTTGATGCCGATTACACCACCCCAGCATGCCCGGAAGGACCACTGGGGATTAAGCAGTAATTCGGACCCCCACTATGACAGGGCTTCAAGTACTTCTGGGTAAGCCATTAAGCCTTTCACACACCACCAACATCCCTACAGCTGGCTAATCGACAGGATTCCATTACCAATACAAATAAAGAGAGAAATAAAGAACTTAGTGACATCTTTTGTCTTCTTTGGGGGCATCTGCTCTTCTTTTTCTCAGACTCTTGAGAAAGCCAAGGGGAGAAAGCTAACATCGGAAGGAGAGTAGACACAACTTCTCTCTTCATTTAAGTAAATAAAAGTCTTGTTTGGAAGACCCAGTTTGACTGTTTCTTGTCTTGTCATTTAACATGAGGTTTCCCAACGATCTGTAGAGAGCCGTTCTGCCCTCCTCTGAAGGTTGTGGCGGGTGCTTAGGAAAGAGGTTGAGAATGTTTCTAGCTAGATGAGGCTGCTGAGGGGCTGTCATGTGAGAAGGGTGTGTGTATGTGTGTGTGTGTGTGTGTCTGCAATTTACACATGTTTATTGAAAAGGAGCTTTTTTCTTTAGGTTTCTAGAGCAAGAGGATAAAGAGAAATTAAATAGAGAAGACTGATAAGGAAATCATTATGTATAACTAAACAAAAGAGATTAAATCATAAGCTCTCTGAATGAATTATGTTTGTATTTTTAATTCTATTGCCCAAGTTCTGCCACAGTGGGGCACCCTAGTAGGTATTCCACAGACACTTATTTATTAGTTATGTGAAAGTAATGAGGAACACTGAGAAATCTGAGAATAAGGCCTCAGATTTAGGGCCTTCTGATAGAATAGAAGGCCCTCTGATGCCTCGAGTGCCTCAAGTATATATGGTCTCATTCAATTAACAGCCACTGTGATCACACTATAATCTAAACCAGCAGGGGATGGAGTGGGGCAGATACGCATTTATTCCACTTCTTTAAACAGAAAAAAAAAAACAAAAACAGGAAATGGAGTTAGGGATATAAAATTTTATGTAAGATGTACTCTGAGCAAGGACATTTTGCAAAATTTTTTGGGACAGGACATGGATTAGTGATAAACACGGGGACCATCATGATAATTACACAGCACATAAGAAATTTTACAGATTTTTTTCACATAGAATTCTAAAAGCTGTGAGATTGGTCATGGTACTTTCAAGCTTTTCTCCCTGTGATGCTGATTCTCACTGTAACATTTTCTTATAATGACTTCTGTCCTTTCCTCCTCAACGTTGTAGTTCCCCCAGAAGAATCTTATTACTTCTCCCTAAAATAGCCATTTTGATATATGTAGTTTTCCAAATGGTGGAGAAGAAAGCAAGAGCACTTTAAGTGCTAAAGAGGTTAATCCTTAAAGCAACAGAAATAAATAAAACAAGAAATAGGATGAAAATACACTTAAAACTCAAACACCTGACCAAAGTAATCTGTTCCCGAAAAGATTAGATTTAGTAATTTTCTCTACTTACACACTCATTTCCTGTGCATTCTCAGCCGCAAAATAAAAGGTCTTGATCTGTGGATGGCTGATCTTAAAAGCACTTGAGGGGGAAAAAACACAGCACATTAAGAATTAGAAATTAATGTAGTTGTCAAAGGGTTTAAAATAAATCAAATGTAAGTGTGGTACTTCATCTGTTTTCTCTGTAGATTTACAAAAAATAATTTAGTTACATTAAATATCCATTGCCTAATCTCTATTTCATGTAGAGAGCAGAGAATTAATTCATCATGTTGAGGCATCCAGAATAGGACTGAGTCTTGGCTAGTTGATAGTTTCTATTTTAAACATATGGGCATATGTTTATATTTTCATTTGCTCACTGCTTTGCTAGAAAGAGACAATAAATTAAAATTTACAATCTCAGAGGTGTCCCTTAAATGCTCATATCAATAAAGCAAAATATTTATTCAAATTCAATCAAATACATACAAGAATGTTATGTGTAGGAACATAACCAAGTATAGAACTTCCACACTGTGACAACACATCAAAAACTTTCTCTAAGCCGCCCTCTATGAGTAAAGGAAAAAATATATTTATATTTATTTTCTCTTACGAAAACTATAAAACACTGAAGATTAGCAAACAATGAAGTGTTTCCCCTCTATCATTAGATCGGGAAGTCCTGCAGTACAGGTCAGCGTTTTGGTAAATAACCAGTTTGGTCAAATCCATGAAAAGAAACACAACCTTATGTATCTCTGGATACGTACAGCAACACTAGAGGGGCAGAGACTTAAAGCTAATACCATTTTATTCGTTTTCTTAGAAAAATCTAGTCCGTTGTCACTACTGGTAAAACAGGTCAGTAGGGAAATAAATGCCTTTCTGATAAAACAGGAAAAAATGTCAAAGGTAGAAAAAGAACCACAAGAAAAAGGGTAAGAGGGCACATTTGCAAAATGTGACTGGATGCTATCATGGTCAGAACCGGTGAACGGGAATACAGTTGGCTGATCTAGAGCAGTTCTGTGAGTTCTAGGCAAGCTCAGACTCTCTGGGCTGTTCCCTTCTTAAGGACGAGAAACTGGTGTCTTTTTTTTTTTTGGTTCCTGTATGTTCTCAGATCTTTTGGACTTAAATTATATCAGGGTATAATCCCAAAGTCTAAGATAACTCAGAGAATGCTATTTCCAGGATGACAATGTTATGAACTAAAAAGAAGAAACAGGTCTTGCTAGTATAACGGTAGCTCTGGAAAGTCCTATTGAATGAGTCACTCTCTTCACCAGCAAAATATGTTGACATCTGATCTCCTAGCCAATCCTGGATGGGAGCTTGTTTTTCGTTCCATCTCAGACACGGTTGTTAAAAACAGGCCGTGCCAAGGCTCCATGGGGTTTTCAGATCCATCTGTTCCACAAAATGAAATTCCAGAAAACAAGAGGTTAAAAGCTTACACTGTTGTTTAGGATGCCAGCCCATAAAATTCAAGAATCTCGGACATTTGGATGTTATCTCCACTAACTTCCAAATCACCACATCACTCAAGAAACTAAAATTATGAAGGGACGTTATTCTGGCTCAGGGTTTTGTGGAAAACGAGAGACAACTTACTGCTTTTTCTTGCATTCAGATGCTCTCTCCACAGTGAAATCGGGCAGGTTGACAAATCCATCGGCCTTCTCTGCCTGAGAAAAATACATACAACAGATATGAAGAAATGAGTCAATCCTAGCAGTAAGTTTATAGAGATGATATACATTGACTAGAGATTGTATAATGAAATGAAATAGAATCAAAAGATACCTCCCTGGATTAGCATTGGAGTTATCCAGATACATATTTTAGGAAAGAAATTAATATTCTCCTGGTAAGTCATCCAGAATCGTTCCATGAGAAGTAACATGACACAGCTTAGTGATGGCCAAGGTAGGGCATGCCTAGAACTTAGCCCACCCCCTTTCTGCCTCCCTGGAAAATACCAGCGCAAACCCATCAGAGCTCCACTCCCTGCTGAATCATCATCAGCATCATCCTCATCTCCAATAAGCCAGTTCTCATACTCCAGGAAGCTACAAGCACAGAAGGTAGAATGTGATTAGCATCCTAGCAAATGGCAGACAGAGGCCAGATTTTGGAGTTAACAAATCAAGGTTCATGTCATATCTAACAACTTACTGGTTGTTAGAAGGCTTAAATGAGCCCAAGTAAATAAAACGCTTAATGGATACTCAACAAACAATAGTTCTTCTCCCAAATCTGTAGGTAGTTCTGCAGGGATTAAACTACAGAGCCATATCTTGGAAAATCTCAGTTCTGTAATCAATTCCTAGGAGGCCTTTCTACAAAGGAAAGAATGCAGAAAAAAAAAATGACTCTTTTGGACATCACATGAATGTTCCCTCAAAACAACAAAAATTCCATAGGAAATGTAATTATTGTTCTACCTCTCTGAGAATTTATTAATCTTTATGGATAAAATACAACTGAACCACAAGAAGATTGGATTGCTTATCACAGATAGACCCCAAATCTTCTTCCATCTATACTGGTATCTCTGAGTAGAGAAATACAGTCCACAAGATTAATCATAAATCAATCAAGGGCTAATTGGAGATGAGTAAAGAAAATGATTTTGAAAATACAATCTTGGGACACCCAGGTGGCTTAGTCATTTAAGCATCTGTCTTCCGCTCAGGTCATGATCTCGAGGACCTGGAATCGCATTCCACATCTTGCTCTTTGCTCAAAGAAGAGCCTGTTTCTCCCTCTCCCTCTGTCTGTTGCTCCCCCTACTTGTGTTCTCTCTCTCTCTCTGACAAATAAATAAAATCTTTTTTAAAAAATACAATCTTAATTTTAGACACCCGCTAGCTATTAGCTTAGTGTCATGGGTCCTCTTACTTCACTTAATTATTCTGCAACTCTTTCCCTTATCCCCAACCAGAGTGCAAGTCCTACTCTTTCTTCAGAAAAATTAAACTGAAACATTCAAACTTATGCCTGTTTCATCTTCCCTCTCCTATATGAGTTAATGTATCCAAACTCTCCATTTGAAATACTTCCTCCGTATAAGACTCAAAACTCAATTCTTGGGGCGCCTGGGTGGCTCAGTGGGTTAAGCCACTGCCTTCGGCTCAGGTCATGATCTCAGGGTCCTGGGATCGAGTCCCGCATCGGGCTCTCTGCTCAGCAGGGAGCCTGCTTCCCTCTCTCTCTCTCTGCCTGCCTCTCTGTCTACTTGTGATCTCTCTCTGTCAAATCAATAAATAAAAATCTTTAAAAAAAAAAAACTCAATTCTAAAGGGAACTTCCTTCTTAAAAAATTATATATATATATTTTTTTCATTCAACTCAACTGTTTGTTGACAAACAGGTTACTCATCATTTCGTCAATCTTATCTCAAAAAGAATATAAAGTACTTAAAGAACATAGACTGTGTAAATCAACTTTTTCTATAACACACAATGCTTCCTATGGGTTCTTATCAGCATTTATAAAAGTATAGTTTTGAAAAACTGTTAGGCTCCGGCAATTCTACTCCTAGATATACACCCAGAAGAAGTGAAAGCAGGTACCCAAATAAATATATGACTATGCATGTCCACAGAAATATTACTCACAATAGCCAAAAGATAGAAACAGTCCCATCAACAGGGGAATAGATAAACAAATTGTAGTACATCCATACAATGGAAGATTCAGCCATAAAACCAAATGAAGTGCTGATACATGCTACAGTGTAATTGAACCTCAATAGCATTATGAAAAGTGAAAGAAACCACACACAAAACATCACATCTTATATGATTCCATTTATGTGAACTCTCCAGAATAGGTAAATCCAGAGACAAAACACAGATGAGTGGTTGCCAAGGGTTGGGGAAAGTGGGGAATAGGAAGAAACTGTTTAATGGGTATGGGTTTTCCTTTTGGTGGGTTGAAAATGTTTAGAACTAGACAGAGGTGGTGGTTGCACAACATGGTGAGTGTACCAAATGCCACTGGATTGTTCACTTTAAAAAATGGATAATCTTGGGGCACCTACGTGGCTCAGTTAGTTGAAGGTCTGACTCTTGATTTCAGCTCAGGTCATGATCTCAGGGTTGTGAGATCAAGCCCTGAGTCAGGCTCCCTGTCAGGCGTGGATTATCTCTCTCAGGGTGCTTGGGTGGCTCAGTGGGTTAAAACCTCTGCCTTCAGCTCAGGTCATGATCCCAGGCTCCTGGTCCTGCATCAGGCTCTCTGCTCAGCAGGGAGCCTGCTTCCTCCTCTCTCTCTCTTTCTGCCTGCCTGCCTCTCTGCCTACTTGTGATCTCTGTCTGTCAAATAAATAAATAAAATCTTTAAAAAAAAAAAAAATTCTCTCTCTCTTCCTCTGTCCCTCCTTCCACTCCGTCTCAAAAAAAAAAAAAAAAAAGGATAATCTTATAAGAATTTCACCTCAATTAAAAAACATAACCTATGTTAGGCTGAACTATTTTTATGTAAATTTTTATAATTTTGTTAGAAAGAAAACAACTTATATCCACTATTTGCTTCTATTTCCTCCCCTCATTCATTGCTATGACCACTGTTCCACAGAAGCTGTAGTTACATGAACCCCAATGAGTTTCATATTGCTAAGTCCCATCAACTTTTTTTGGTCCTCACTTAACTGAACTCTAATAACTGATAGTAAAACTCAAGGTCTACGTCTAGACATACCTCATTTCTTGCCTTTCTGATATATCCCTGTTGATCCCTTTCTCCTTCAACTACTCCTTGCTTGCTTTCACGAAGTCCTCTTATCTTGCCTTTTTCTTAAATGTCAGTGTTCCCCAGACTTCCAAACACAAACTTAATCTCTTCTCATTCCAATACTTTCTGTCAGGGACCATATGCATAATCATGGCTGCATGTATCGCCACAGTTACACACATATTCAAAATCAATACCTCAAACTGGGATTTAATCCTGAGCTCCTGTCCCAGAGATCCAACTGCCTGGCGTACCTGTTCACATGAGAATTCCATAAGTTCCCTCCTACAGACTGAATATTTGTATCTGCCGACCTCAAATTCCTATTTTGAAGCCCTAAGCCCCAGTGTGATGGTATTTGGAGGTGGGGCATTTGGGAAGTAACTAGTTTTATATAAAGCCGTGCTGGTGAATCCCCCATAATCAGATCAGTGCCCTTATAAAAAGAGGAAAAGACCAGAGTTCTCCACCTCTCTTTCTCCACCAAGTAACGTTACAGCAAAAAAAAGCAGCCATCTGCAATCCAGAAAGAAGGCCCTCACCAAACACAGAGTCTGTCAGCACCTTGACTTAGACTTCTCAGCCTTCCGATCTATGAGGAATCAATGACTATTGTTTAAGCCACAAGGTGAAGATATTTTATCATAGCTGTACAAAGGAAGACACTCTCCAAGAGTCATAAATCCAACACCAAACTTACTATTTTATTCCACAAAATGCCTGCTCCTCTTTTTTCTATTCTCTCTACTTCATTGAATGATATCATTTTCAATCCTGTTGTCAAAAAAGGAAATGTGGCAGACATCTTTGACTCTTCGATCCCCTTCTCAGTGCACATACAAGTCATCGCGGAGATGTATTACCACTGCCTCTGTCCCAGGATTCCTTCCATGTACCACCTAGCACCTCCATCAGCTTACCACTGATTCTCACCTCCCTTACTGTGAAGTCTGGCAAGCCATTTTCAACCTTCCTCTAATTTTGTCCTTCCCTCCAATATGATGTCCAAATCACAGTCGCAGCAAATCGTGATTCCTTGAACACACTTCATGTCTCTTCTCTCATTAAAATCCTGCACAGTTCCCAGTGGCCCTTGGACCACGTCTGAGTGCCTCAGCAGAGCAGGAAGACCCTTTATGATCCAGACTTGCATAATTACACACTTTCATCTCCCCCCTCACTCAACCAAAAATACACAAAAATTTCAAACAAAGAAAAAAACTATACTTCCATTTAAGCTGAATTAGAATTGACACCAAATTTATGGCATTATCATTCTGTAGACAATTTATTTTCAGAACAAAAAGCCCATCTTAGATGACAACAATATAAAATCAATCAGCAAAAACTGAAATATAAATAAATTACAAATCTCCATCAGGGTGGATTTTTTTTTTTCTGTACAACTGAAATGGCTGAGAGTCCTTCAGCTAAGAACCAAAATGAATTTGAGTAAAAGATACCTTAGTTTTTCCTCAGTAAACCTTTCCTTCATTAAGAAAGGCATCTTTTCATTGTACTAAAGACATTCAAGCTGTATTCAAAATCACAGATAACTGTGTCAAATTTGCCTTTGCTTATTTGACTTGCAAAAATGCCTTAAAAATGACAATCACATTGGGAAAATCCTAAAGGAATGACAGTTTTCTCCTCTTCCTCCTCCTTCTCCTCCTACCCCCTCACATCCCTCATTCCTTGTTATGCTAACCAAAATAACGTTTTTCAAATGTATCCTTCCTCCTCAATAATTCCTAACTTTCTGAAAAGTTACTTGAAAGTTCTGCATCAGTACATGAAATTTACCCTCTGTATCCTAATGTAATAAAAATCTTGTTCTTTTGGGGTGCCTGGGTGACTTGGTCAGTTAAATGTCCAGCACTTGATTTCATCTCAAGTCATGATCTGAAGATCATGACAGCAAACCTCACCTCGGGCTCCATGCTCAGC